TGGTCCCTAGTGGTGGTGGTGGTGGTGTCGCTTTTGCTTGTTCTGGTGCTAGTGGGGAGGAGCTGGATGAGGACAACCTTGCGGTACGAAAAGAGCTCGACAGCATTCCCTGCCCATGTTGATCAGGGCTCGCTGTCGGCGTCGCCGCGGGCGTTGCCAGCTTGCAGCAACAAGTCGCCTGCCCAGCAGCGCCCGCTTCGGTTTCGGACAGCATTTGCTGTTGGGCATCACGCCAACTGCCCTTCCGCACCCATTTCGGGCGTGCCACCGTAGAGGTCCACCTGGCTTCTCCATGCGCCCCCTTCCCAGGTCGGGTCGGACGGACGAGCCGCCGCCAGGCGCTTTCGTCGATACGTTGGCGCCTCAGGCGCTGGGAAAATCGGCTGTGTGAGCTGATTCGCGAAGCCCCCTTTCTGTACTAACCCCCTCTTGCGTCCGACCCGACCAGGACGGGGGAAATCAGTCAGATGATGAGGGGGGAGGAGGCGGGATGTGGACCTTTCACAACTTGTCGGCTACCAAAGAGCGCTCGAGGGTTCGAGTATCTTTGGGCGCTTTAGGGGGTCCTCTCTCTTGTTGGGCCTCCGTGAGCCCAGGCCTCCCAAAGTGGTGTGCGAGCAGACGGGAACGGACAGTCGTGCCGCATGCGCGATGCATCGGCGACGCGTCTCGATTCGGAGCCCGATGTCCTCCATCCCGACGGCGCCGATAGCATGGGCGATGCGGCGCCATCCTCCGACCCAATCTGCTCAGGCCCAAGTCGGGCGGCCCTTGCAGGCTTCTCGCCGCCACGGCTGGACCCCGCCCCGAGAGGGGTCTGGAAGGGGTGCTTCCAGGGTCGGCGTGGCGAGAATTGGTCCTGAGGGAAAGGGGTCCCGGCGTCTTTCGCCGCTCTCGGGCCCCCCCTCGGAGCCCCCCCCCCCCCCCCTCCCAGGCCCCTCTTCGGATAATGAAAGCATCATATACGCAACCACACCAGAGAGAGCTCCAAACAGTGAATGTACTGGTACGTCTGACTTGGTATGTGTGTATACATGTATATAGTAGGTGCGAGAGTGCTGTACGCACATACCTATATACACATGTATCAGACTACATATCCACTCCGTATAGATCCCTCTCCCTTCCTATTATCGATGGTATGCCTTTATGTGTATGCATGTGTGTGTTTATGTATGTATGTATGCATGTATGTACGTACGTACGTACCCACGTATGTATGTATGTATGTATGTAGGTAGGTAGGTAGGTAGGTAGGTATGTATGTATGTGCATATGTATATGTATATATATATATATATATATATATACACGGCGGGCCCTGGCAGCAGAAACCTAGAACCCGTGAGCCCAGCCGTCCCGGAGACCAATACGGAGCCCAGAAACAGGAATTTGGAGCCCAGAACCGGGAAACCAGAACCCAAAACCGGAAACCCAGGAACCCGGCCGCCTACTGAAATCGGCGGCGAGCTCGCCAATCCAGAACCAGGAAACGAGAACCCGGAGCCCAGAAACGGGAATTTGGAACCCGGAACCGGGAACCCAGCCGACCACCGAGACCAATCCAGAATTTGGAAATTGGAACCAAGACCCCAAAACCGTGAATTTGGGAACCCGGTCGTCTACCGAATTCGGCGGCGAATTTTCGCCAAATCTTTCGATATCCGTCGCCAGTCGCAGGGGGTAGGGGGCGCGGTCCGTCATTGCCCCAGGTACCCCCCGATTCGATATTCACCGCGCGCATGAGCGCGACAACGCTAAGAGCGCGCACTATATCAAATGTCTGGTAGCCAGCTATTCGCTGCACAGTGTTACACGGTTCCGCTCCCTTCTGAGCGGAGAGAGCCTTCGGCGTAAGAGCGGGCGCCCTTGAGCGTAAGATCAACCTGAAAGTCTATCGTGTTGGGGTCGGGGGGCTCTTGTCTTGCCCTCTCTGGGCCGCGAGCCTATCCGTGGCCTTTTCCGTGGATGTTCCGCGTATTTGGACATGCTTGCCCAAGAACCGAAGGCCTGCCCAGCCGAGGCTCGAGAGGGCAAGAGGTCGGAAGGCAAGATGTCGTGGATCTTCTGCCCTGCCACAGTGCCCTCGCTACACAGCCCGTGCAGGGAGCAGATGGGTTAGTCACCACAGAATGCATCCCCAGGAAGTGTAGGAACTGATATGAAGTTGCTCAAGGTTTCTCGGATAGCTCAAGGATGTTTCTAGGCTCGAACACGTGCCAGGGCTCGGGCCATACCAAGTGGCTTTGTTGGCTTGAAGATGCTCCTGGCATGTGCTGAACAAAGGGCAGTAATCGCACCGCTCATGTGGTATCCAAATGCCGCTCCTGAATCGAGCATGCTGTTGCAACCCTTGTGAATGCAGTCGGGCGTTGTTTGATCAAGCTGTATGATTTGCCGTCCCATGGAGGTGTGCTTGGCCCTGGGTGACTACCTCAACGTTCAGGTCCACTGCTGCATCGGTGGCAAGCGAGTCTCGGACGACATCCACACTTTTGAGGAAGGGGGTTCCTTTATCGAAAAATGAGGGAGGCTGGGAATTAGCACGCGAGGTCAGCGTGTTGCATGTATAACACCACACAGCTCGAGCTAAACTGTGTTTGGGCGATCTCGTGGACGGGTTTCGTTTCGATTTCGTTTTGCAGCAAGGGCTGAACGAAGTCAAGACGAGGGCACACGAAGACAAAACGAACTCGGAACACACCGTCTAGGCCGAGCCTTGTTACACCAGAGAAGGGTCCCAACCAGATGGTTATTTGAGTTGCTCGCAAGTGTTCCGCGCCTGCCCGCCGTGATTGTTTGCCCAGTTCAGCTCTGCTCGGCGCCCCCCCATCCCGTCTTTCCCTTCGTGTTGCCCCTTTGTCCTCTAATCTCTACCTTCTGTTTTCTATGTTCGGCTCTGCGCCCTTCTTTCTGACATGTACTCGCCCCTCTTCCCTCTAGACCCTCTCATGTTGACTGTGGTTGCAAGGCCTCTCTCCCTCTATCTCTTTTTTGTTTGTTAATCTCTCTCTCTCTCTTGTTTCTCTCTCTCTCTCTCTCTTTCCTCTTTTACTATCCCCTTCTACCTCCCTCTTTCCAAATTTCGATATAATGCTCAGGCCTGGTTTTCACTTTCCTATCAGAGTGAGGTGGCTGAACCGTCTTTCACGGTCCCTGGCTGCGTGGTTGAATTTGGTTTCCGCGGTCCGGGTTGTTGTTGTTGTTGCTGCTGCTGTTGTGTTTGCTGTTGAGTTTTCGTTTTTAAGAAGTAGTTATTGTTGATCCCCCCGCGCGGTAACCATCATAATTTTGCAATCAAAGTGCTTCTCCAGGGCCGTGCACAGAGTTTTTTACGGAAAGTGAAGTGTCACCAAATTGCGCCCTGGCCTCCGGTTTACAACAACAGCGATTCCCGCTTGATACTGTCTCAAAATGTATTCCGAATACGCGCTCTCTCGCGGACGCCTTTACGGGACTTCCTCGCAATTGGTTCAGACGCCACGCCTTCGACGTTCAGGAATCACGTTCCCGCTAAGGATATCTCACGATTTCTTGACAAGAAATTATCGTTGATGTCCCCCCGTCCGGTAACCATCCTATTTTTCAATTAACATGCTCCTCCTGGGACTCGCACCTTGCTGGGTCACCAAATTGTGCCCCTGGCCCCGGTTTTACAACAACAGCAACATCAAAAGCAACATTCAGTTTGAGACTGTGCGCTCCTATCTGCTCGCGTGCCACTCAACACGTATATTCCAAACCCTCGATACCCACCCTCTTCGTCATCGATCGTATCCCCTTGGGGGATGTATCTGTCCTACCTGTAGCGCGCATTTCGTGCAGCCCCTAAGGCAGGGGAGCAGAGGGCGGATGGAAGGAAGGGGCGAGGGGGAGGGAGGAATGGAGAAAGCAGGGGCGAGGGGGAGGGAAGGAAGGGGCGAGGGGCGAGGGGGAGGGAAGGAGGGGGGGAGGGGCGAGGGGGATGGAAGGAAGGGGCGAGGGGGAGGGAAGGAAGGGGCGAGGGGCGAGAGAGTAGCAGGAGGTGTGTGGGAGCAGAAAGCACGTCGCAGAACCAGACGGGCAGATCGGGCGGGCTAGGCCCTAACGGGCGGGCCCAGGCGGCCAGGTCGAGCAGCTGGGATTGCTGAAGCGTGCGTCCTGTGTGAAGCGCGAGGAAGCCCTGAGCGACAGCGCGATTCCAAAATACATTTAGTGAGGAAATTCAGAGGAGACCGTGATTCCTGAGTGTCAAAGGCGCGGCGCCTGAATGAACTGCGAGGAGGTCCCGAGCGACAGCTCGATTCCTGAGTGTCGAAATGCGCGACGCTTGAACAAGTGGCACGTCTGCCATGGCTGTTGCACAAGAAGGGCGGGGAGGAGGAGGAGGTGGAGGAGGAGGGGGGAAGAGGGGGGCAAGACATCGCCCCTCGGGGCCCAGCAGCGGGGCCCAAATCCCTGGTGGGGAGGGGGGGGAAAGGAGGTGGCGTGCGTCGCGACGCGGAATAAAGTGCTCGGGGCGGGGGGGGCAGTGGGCGGAGCCCCCACTGGGGCGCTGGGGGCGCGGAGAGGAGGGGGGGGAGGTGGTTGGTGCGCGTCGCGACGCGAAATAAAGTGGTCGGGGCGGAGGGTGCCTTGGGCGGGGCAGGGCCACGGGGCGGGGGTCCAACTGGGGCGCTGGGGGCGGGGGGGGGAGGCGGTGTGCGTCGCGACGCGGGATTAAATTTGTCGGGGCGGAGGGGGCACGGGGCGGAGCCCCCAGTGGGGCGCTGGGGACGCGGCGAGGGCGGTGGGGGAGGTGGTGTGCGTCGCGGCGCGGAATGAGCTGGTTGTGGCGGAGGGGGCAGTGGGCGGGGTTTTCGTCGTGGCGCTGGGGACGCGGGGGGGCTCGGGGCAGAGAGCCACGGCGCGGGGGGAGGGTGCGACGCGGAATCAAGCGTTCGTGGCGGAAGGGGCAGTGGGCGGGGCCCCCGCTGGGGCGCCGGGGACGCGGGGGGGCTCGGGGCAGAGAGCCACGGCGCGGGGGTCCCACTCTGGTGCTGGGGACGCGGGAGGGGGGAAGGTGCGACGCGGAATCGAGCGTTCGTGGCGGAGGGGGCAGTGGGCGGGGCTCCCGCTGGGGCGCTGGGGACGCGTGGGGGCTCGGGGCCGAGAGCCACGGCGCGGGGGTCCCACGCAGGCGCTGGGGACGCGGGGGGGGTGGTGCGACGATGAATAAAGTGGTCGGAGCTCTAGACGCCCTGTGCCAGATAATACAGTGGGAGGGAGTATCAGGCGAGAGCGCGATTCTACGATACATTGCGAGGAAGTCCTTAGCGAGAGCGCGATTCTTCAATACACTGCAGGGAAGTATCCGGCGGGAGCCGTTGCTGTTGTAAACCGGGGGCCAGGGGCACAGTTTGAGCAGGAATATTTGCTTATGTAAAAGCACAGCGAGCCCTGGGAGGGGCGCTTCAACTGAAAAAATACATTTCAAATTGACAACCAGTTCTGTTTCGCGTGTGCTTGAGTCCTGCATAATTCGCCAGGAAGTCTCGGGCGAGAGCGCAAATCTTAAGAACATCGTGGAGAAGTCCTACGCGAGAGCGCGAAATTGAATGGCGAGGGCGTGGCGCCTGAATTCGTTGCGAGGAAGTCACAGGCGACAGCGCGATTCTTGGATACATTGGAAGGCAGTCCCCAACGAAAGCGCGATTCGTCAGGAACTTGCGAGGAAGTATCAGGCGGGAGCCGCTGTTGTTGTAAACCGGGGGTCAAGGGCATAGTTTGAGGACACAGATTTCCTTTTGTTAGCAAAAACCAGGGTGCGAGCCCCGAGAGGGGGCCTCTCAATTGAAAACCACATATGCTACTGGAGGGGTTGAGATCAACAGTATTTATTTTCCAACAGGGCGACGTCAACAATAACAGCAACAACAACAACGGCTCTCGTTTGAGATGTCCTCATCAGTTGTTGACAAATCGCGCTCTCGCGCGGGACGCCCTCACAATTGATACAGGAGTCGCGCTCTCGTGTGGGATGTCCTCACAATCTATTCAGACGCCGTTCCTGCGACATTCCGGGGTCACGCTCTCGCTGTGGATTTCTCACGGCTTATTTGGAAACCGCGCTATTGCCTGAGACTTCTCGCGATTCATGCAGGACGCACGCTTCAGCAACCCGCCTGTTCGACCTGGCCGCCTGGGCCCGCATTCCCAACCCGCCCGTTAGGGCCTACCCGCCCGATCAGCCCGTCTGGTTCTGCCACGTGGTTTCTGCTCCCAGCCCCCCTCCTGCTATTCTCTCTCGTGCTACATCCTTCTTCATTCCCTTTGTCCCTTCCTTTCATCCGCCCTGTGTTCCCATACCATAGGGGCTGCACGAAAGACACGCAGCAGGTCCGAAACAACTATACTCCCAAGTTGAGCAGGATCGAAGACGAAGAGGGCGGGTATCGAGGGTGTGTGATACGCATGTTTGGTATCACGCGAGCAGGTAAGAGCGAACCGTCTTAACACGACTGTTGTTGTCGCCGTCGGGTTTCCATTCCGAAGAAATAATTTTTGTTGTCCCCCCACCCCCTCTTTGGCAAATTGTATATGTCAGTAAAACTGCTCCGCATGGGGCTCACACTTTTTCACAAAGGGAAGGCGAGGGGTCACCAAACTGGGCCCTTTGGCCGCCGATTTGCGACAACAACGGCTCCCGCTTCATATTTCCTGACAAATGATTCCAGCATCGCACTCTCGCGCGGGACTTCTTCACAAGTTATACAGGCACCGCGTTCCCGCGTGGGGCCTCCTCACAATTCGCTCAGGCGCCGCACTTTCGACGCTCACCAATCGCGCTCTCGCTTTTGCGTTTCTCGGGAAGGATTTCGGAATCGCCTATGGCTCGAGTTCTCCTCGCGATTCATGAGTTTTCACCCGCAGTTTCAGCAACCGCTTGGGCCCGCCTTCCCGACCCGCCCGCTATGCTCTGCTCGCCCGATGGGCCCGTCTGGTTCTGCCACGTGTTCTCGGCTCCAAGCCTCCCTCCTGCTAATCCCGTGTTCCATTTGTCTCTTTCCGCTTTCCATCCGTCCTCTCTTCCCCTGCTTCAGGGGCTACACCAATTACACGCGGCAGGCAGAGAACATATACCCCCGAGGGGGTTGCGATCGAGGACGAAGAGGTTGGGTACCGAGGGTTTGGGATATACGGGCTGAGTGGCTCCCAAGCAGGCAAGATCGAACGGTATTAAAATGAGCGTGGTTGTTGTTGTTGGTGGTGTTGTTGTTGCTGTTGTTGCGCTATCATTTCGAAAACAAATATGGTTGATCACCCCCTCTGGGGCAAACCTCGTTTTTCAATTGAAGTGCCCTTTCTGGGGCTGGCACCCTGCCCTTCTACCAGGGAAAATATTGAGTCTAAGAATTAGGTTGTAAGCCGCTGGTTTACAACAACAGCGGCTCCCGTCTCACACTTCATCACAATGTACTCCCAAGTCGCGCTTTCGCGCGGGACTTCCTCGCAATGTATGCAGGAATCGCGCTCTCGCGT